CCCCCCCCCCCCTTTTTTTTCCCCCTGAGCGTGACGTAATTTGCGAAAGACCCCTAGTTACTTCCAGAGGAAGCTTACCTTCTCAACAATGCTCACTGCAGGATTTAAGCGATCAGTGAGTCCACCAATAACATTGTCCAGTATGACACAGAAGACAGACTTTCTGAAATATGCTTCCCCCCCCCCTCCCCCAGGACATACACCACTTTAGCCTTGTTTTGATAAATCTGCTGCAGTACCTTGATAATGGAACCACTTTATTTTTCTTCCCCCCCCCCTCTCCCTCCCCCGCACGGGTTCCAGAGAGTTTCACGTCCACGCACAAATTAGAAGCAACCTGCTTATCTTCGTGCCACATACTTTTCCAGTTTTTTTGTTTTTTTTTCCGAGCATTTTTCAGTTCTGAAATCAAGCTTTTTTAAGTTGGACACTAAGTCATCCAGTGTTGCATTTATAGACCGAATAACCTTACTGCAGCTATCAAATGGAACTTATACTGTGCACCACACAACAGACATCAGCGCTTAAATGAAGGATGTGACATAAGAAAACGCTTCACACAACAGACATCAGCGCTTAAATGAAGGATTTGACATAAGACAAAGCTCCATTGTTATCTGTGTTCTTGTTTGTGGCACTTTGGTTAAACTCAAAGAGGTCTTTTCGTAATGCAAATTTGATGCCTCACATGTGGGATACTAAGAGCTTTAAACGTCCAACATGGTCTGACCATCGTGTGCTAGAAATGCCGCGAAGAGAACAGCCAAAAAAAATTCTGCGAGATTTTCCATCGCTGTGGACCAGAACTAAACAAGTTGAACGAAATGTGTCCAGTTCCAAATGACGTAATGGAATGTATGCTGTGGCATAATTGGGAATGTTCTAAAGAGCGTTACTTGAAGGCATTTTTTGTCAAGCAACTTTATTAGTAGTTCGGCAGCTGAGGCGCATTACGGTCGCCATTGTTGGGCGGGCTATTGCTATGGTGTACGTAATATTTAATCCAGACTCCTGCATTTTTAACTATTTAAGGTAAGGTCTCATTTAAGTAACCAAAAAGCACCAATGTCTATAGCAGGTCGGCACAACTCAAAATTAAAGGCGGGCCGTTATCCTTTATGTAAAACTTGCGCAAGGTGAAAAAAAAATAGGACAAGAAAGGGGGGGGAGCTATTAAGAAAATAATAATAAAAGAGATTATTTCGTGACTTCGTGGGCCGCCAAAATGGTGCTGCCAGGCCGCATGGGGCCCATGGGCCGTAAGCTGGGCAGGCCTGGCCTATAGGACTGTATCTATGAAACACCACTAGCATTGCTTTTGTTGCTCCCCCGATTAAATGTAGAATGATGCAAACCAAATTTTCAGGTATTCGCCAAAATACATCAATACATTTTGAATTTATCCAATTTTTCTGAGGAGGAGTTCAATGTTTTCATTCATGATTTATAACGCTTCGTCTTACAGCCACCGACACACTGCAGCCTGAACCTCACACCACAGCCTGACCTTCACACTGCAGCCTGACCTTCACACTGCAGCCTGACCTTCACACTGCAGCCTGACCTTCACACTTTAGCCTGACCACCACCACCACCAGCGCGATCTTCGTGACGCGAAGTCTACGATGCCCTCGCAAAAGTTCGAACTGACAGACATCTCAAGCAGTCAGACCAATCTGACCAGCATGCGAGAGGGCAGGACTGGCGGCTGCTACCTCAGCACGTTGGTGGGTTTCATCTTAGTCCTGCTGGCGGCTGCCGTCGCCGTGGGAGTAGGCATCATCGTGCACTTTGCCGGCGGCAATAGGGAGGTGATCTGCAGATGTGAACCTTCATCGAGTGCGATATCAGCTGAGGCTATCAAGAATCAATGCATAGACATGGCCAGCGCTGGAAACTCAGAATTGTGTGAGTAAAAAATAATTTAACTAGAGATGTGAAGTAGAGAAACACCTTAACTAGAGATGTGTAAGTACACAATAACTTAACTAGAAATGTGTAAGTACACAATAACTTAACTAGAGATGTGTAAGTACACAATAACTTAGCTAGAGATGTGCAAGTACACAATAACTTAACTAGAGATGTGTAAGTACACAATAACTTAACTAGAGATGTGCAAGTACACAATAACTTAACTAGAGATGTGTAAGTACACAATAACTTAACTAGAGATGTGTAAGTACACAATAACTTAACTAGAGATGTGAAAGTACAAAATAACTTAACTAGAGATGTGTAAGTACACAATAACTTAGCTAGAGATGTGTAAGTACACAATAACTTAGCTAGAAATGTGTAAGTACACAATAACTTAGCTAGAGATGTGCAAGTACACAATAACTTAGCTAGAGATGTGCAAGTACACAATAACTTAGCCAGAGATGTGCAAGTACACAATAACTTAGCTAGAGATGTGTAAGTACACAATAACTTAGCTAGAGATGTGTAAGTACACAATAACTTAGCTAGAGATGTGAAAGTAAACAATAACTTAACTAGAGATGTGCAAGTACACAATAACTTACCTAGAGATGTGCAAGTACATAATAACTTAACTAGAGATGTGCAAGTACATAATAACTTAACTAGAGATGTGCAAGTACACAATAACTTAACTAGAGATGTGTAAGTACACAATAACTTACCTAGAGATATGCAAGTACATAATAACTTAACTAGAGATGTGCAAGTACACAATAACTTAACTAGAGATGTGCAAGTACACAATAACTTAACTAGAGATGTGTAAGTACACAATAACTTACCTAGAGATGTGCAAGTACATAATAACTTAACTAGAGATGTGCAAGTACATAATAACTTAACTAGAGATGTGCAAGTACACAATAACTTAACTAGAGATGTGTAAGTACACAATAACTTAACTAGAGATGTGCTAGTACACAATAACTTAACTAGAGATGTGTAAGTACACAATAACTTAGCTAGAGATGTGTAAGTACACAATAACTTAGCTAGAGATGTGTAAGTACACAATAACTTAGCTAGAGATGTGTAAGTACACAATAACTTAACTAGAGATGTGCAAGTACACAATAACTTAACTAGAGATCTGTAAGTACACAATAACTTAACTAGAGATGTGTAAGTACACAATAACTTAACTAGAGATGTGTAAGTACACAATAACTTAACTAGAGATGTGTAAGTACACAATAACCTAAATAGAGATGTGTAAGTACACAATAACTTAACTAGAGATGTGCAAGTACACAATAACTTAACTAGAGATGTGTAAGTACACAATAACTTAACTAGAGATGTGCAAGTACACAATAACTTAACTAGAGATGCGTAAGTACACAATAACTTAGCTAGAGATGTGTAAGTACACAATAACTTAGCTAGAGATGTTTAAGTACACAATAACTTAGCTAGAGATGTGCAAGTACACAATAACTTAACTAGAGATGTGTAAGTACACAATAACTTAGCTAGAGATGTGTAAGTACACAATAACTTAGCTAGAGATGTGTAAGTACACAATAACTTAGCTAGAGATGTGTAAGTACACAATAACTTAGCTAGAGATGTGCAAGTACACAATAACTTAGCTAGATATGTGCAAGTACAAAATGACTAGAAAAACCCGTCAAAATCACGTACAAAATAAAGTGTTTTAAACTGATGACGTAGTTTAAGTTTGACGCCAAGTTTTTTTTAGTACTGCTTAAGAAATAAATAGGGATTGATCCAGTGAAGAAGATGTGACAGATGACAGATGAGGTTTTCACAATATACCACAGGATAAAACTTATGACAGTTGCGATGTCTTCAAAACACCAAGTGTCGAGTGTGTGACAGATGTCATGTCTCTGTTTACTAAACTAATGTGTGACTGATGACATGCCTGTCATTGCTACACTCCGTGAATAAAATTCTATAGACAACAAGTTGTGTATAATTCAACTTGGAACGAGAGGACACCGAAAATGTGAGAATCCCTGGCAGTCTTCACTTAAAGTCCGCCCTAGTTAACGACACTCCGCTTTACGACCGTCTCTCCGGCGGAAAAACTTACGTCCATCCCTCCATCCCTCTGTTGCCACAGCCCACATAGGGCTTTGGCTTGCCTCACCACTTCCTTCCACTCAGATCTAATTGATGCTTTTCTTATACATTCTTGGATTCCCAGCTGCTGGTAGATATTTCTCCACATCGTCCATCTAACTAAGACAAGATCTGCCATTGAGCCGTTTTCCTCTGGGATTTTGGTAGTGCACCCTCTCCAGTCCTCTGTCATTTGACATTCTTTCAAAGTGTCCCACCCAGTGTAGCCAAAGTGTCCCGCCCAACTTAGCCAAAGTGTCCTGTCCAACGTAGCCAAAGTGTCCTGTCCAATGTAGCCAAAGTGTCCTGCCCAACGTAGCCAAAGTGTCCTGGCCAACGTAACCAAAGTGTCCTGCCCAACGTAGCCAAAGTGTCCTGTCCAACGTAGCCAAAGTGTCCTGGCCAACGTAGCCAAAGTGCCCTGCCCAACGTAGCCAGCCCTTTTTTTTTTTTTTTAAATTTCTGCCACTAGTGTGGGATCCTGACATGGTCCAAAAAAGTCCTGTTTGATTCGTATTTTCAATCCATATTCATCCTTTGTTGATCCACATATTTTCTGGAGAGCATTTCTCTCCCATGTGTTTAATAGGTTTTCTGCCGTTTTTTTAATAGGGTCCAAGTTTCTCTTGCGTATGTTACAACTGGTCTGATTACAATGTTATGAATAGTTTGTTTGTTTTTTCTTGTAATGTTTTACTGAGTATTTTCTGACTACTGAAGTAGGCTTTGTTCCCGGCCGATAAACTTTTTAAAAATATTTATGTTAGTGTTTTCTTTAATTTAATAAAGATCCTAGGTATTTGAATTTTTTCAAAATGTGGAATCTTAATTTAATGGTTTCACCTGCCTGATCTTCTCTTAGCATAGTCATGTATTTTTAATTTCATTTTTTTTTTTTTGGTTGTTAACTTCCAGCCCAGCTTGTAGTGATGCGTCTTCTAATTCTTAAAGGTTTTTTGTATATGTCTTTACGACGTTTTCCTAACAGTGCAATGTCATCAGCATATGCAAGATACTGAAGGGGTTGATTGTCGAGAGTGCCTAGTGGTTGTGGGTCCTAGGTCACCCTCAGAAAGTATCCTGTTATTGTTCCTCAGTTGTCAATATGTGTGTTTCTTATAACTCTCTCTGACGTAAGGTTAAATAGCATACAAGAGAGTGAGTTTCCCTGTCTTATATCTTGTCTAATCTCAAAGTCCTTTGAATATTCTCCTTGAAGATTTATTTCGCTTTTTGGGTTGTTCAAGTTACCTGTATCAGTCTTGTCGGTTTTATAGCCCACATAGAATTGACGTACTGCGATATTATATTCTTATTATAATGGCATCCTTCCGTCTACGTGAGACGATGGAGTAGCTATATAGTTCTACACTTTGACGAGTGGCTCACTAGGCCAATCCTAGAATGGCAATCACGGCCGCATCTCTCGCAGGAGAATGTTGAAACCGGTCAATTCTTGATTTTTGAATTGTTCTTTTTGATTCGAGGGCCTCGTTTCAAGTAACTTCTGCCTTTCTCACTCCTCCAAACACTGCTGTACGCCAGTTGGAGCGATGTTCGGCAATGGACTCCCATACATTTATTTCAATATTGGCTTCCCTCATGCTTCGTTTGAAACGTCAATAAATCTCAGGCGCGGTCGTCCAATATGTCTTCTCCCCTCTGCCACTCATCATACAGCAGAATCTTTGGGATACGTCCTTCCTCCATTCTCCGTACATGACCTAACCAGGGAAGGCGTCTCTTGATAAGAAAGGAGAATATGCTAAACATGTGTGCACGTTCCAAGACCTCCACGTTAGGCACCCTGTCCTGCCAACGAATGCGCAAAATGCGACGCAGACATCTTTGATGGAAGCTGTTGTGTTTCCGCTCCTGACTGGTGTATGTGGTCCACACTTCGCTACCATATAGAAGCGTGCTAAGCACGCATGCCTGATAGACACTTATTTTTGTTTTATCAGTTAGATTGAGATTATTCCACACCCGCTTATTCAGTTTAGCCATAGTTGCTGCTGCTTTTGCAATCCTGATATTGATCTTTTCATCAACGGAGAGAGAACTAGAAATATTGGATCCCAGGTATATGAAATGATCAACAACCGAAAGATTATGACCCTCAATAGATATGGTTGGAGGGGACGGTGCTTCTTGCATCATTACATGAGTTTTCTGTAGACTAATCGAAAGACCAAACTCCTTACAAGCATGTGATAGGCGATTAACCAGCCCCTGCAGACCTTCTTCTGTGTGAGATGTTAAGGCGGCATCGTCAGCAAACAGCAGTTCACGAATCAGCACCTTTTTTACTTTGGTCTTTGCACGAAGGCGGGCGATATTGAACAGTCTTCCATCAGATCTTGTGTGGACGTACACTCCATCTTCACAGTCACTGAAAGGAGCATCCAAAAGAAAATTGAAAAGAGCGTTGGTGCCAGTACACACCCCTGTTTTACTCCGCTGCTAACTGGAAATGACTCAGAGACAGTGCAATTGAAAGTTACTGTGCTGTGCATGTTTTTGTGAAATGAATGTATTATTGTGAGCAGTCGTGGGGGACAACCTATTCTTTGCAGGATACTGAAAAGGCCACTTCGACTTACCAAGTCAAATGCCTTGGTCAGGTCTACGAAGGCAATATGATTATATTCTTATCATTTATCTAATAGTATTTATCGATGGTAAGACTCCACTTGTCTGGAAATTGACCATTATTTTGAAACTAATTCTTATCATTAGCGGCGAAGAGTTTCGATTCTGTCCATAACTAAATGTCTAAAGTTGTCTTTAAGTAAATAAATAAATAAATAAATATATATATATATATATATATATATATATA